TAAAAGATCTTTCACCCTCTGCAACGGATACTGGCATTGTGTGGAAGATGCACAAAAGTATGCATATCGACGGGAAAATTGGTTGTAAGCCTTTGCAATATATTTGATTTAAAAGATTGAGAGAGTTGCCTTTACTGAACAAGGATGATGGTCAAAGTGGCAAATTTCCTCAATAAGATCGTCTTCTTTAACGTCATTTGAATAGAATTTTGCAAGTTGACGAGCTTTGTCATTTTGTGAAGAAGGGTCTTCAGACTGAAGCCAGATAAAGGAAAACTGAGCGTTGAAAATATTTACTTCAAAAGTCTTTTCTGTATTGTCGTGGTAGTGGGCTGTATTTGATGGTTCCTCGTGGAATTTTTTCACTCTTCTTGTGGGTTTTACTTTAAATTCTGTTTTAAATCCTAGGTTTCCAGCCACTAGCTTTGCTTCAGTCAAAATAGAACTCCACGACGAACGAATGCGACCTAGGTCATCTAGAAGTAGTTGAATAAGGATGACTTTTTCTTCAATGGTGATTGACTCCGACTGGAGACATCGACTAACATTATCAATATTTTGCAGTGTCTTGTACCAAATGGTCAAATGAACTACTGATTCAAGTGACTTAAAATATTTGCTCAACGGTTTCGTTTGATTCAACATGTCCGCAGTTAGGTCAAGTTGATTAACGGTTCTATCCAGAGCAGCAATGATTTCTCGTAGTTTTTTCACTAAAGGTTTTACAGCTGCTATGTGGGCTGACCATCTAGTATCTGAGAGATTGTGAAGTGATAAAGCAGTCTCTTCGTGAAGAATTTTCCATCTTGTTAGGCTGCAAATAAAGAACACGTAGAGGGCTTGGATATTGCCAAAAAACGTTTTGATCTCATTGCAAGACTCAGCAGCATGAACTCCAGCTAAATTTAAATTATGAGCACCGCAAGGAATGTATAAAGCGAACGGATTTTTTTCTAGTATATGAGCTTAGGCTCCATTATAGATTCCAGCCATATTAAAGCAATTGTCGTATCCTTGGCCTCTCAATTTTTGTAAATCGAGATTTACTTTCGCTAAAACGTTGCAAATTAAATAAGCAATATCTGCACCTTTCTTTTTCTCCATATCCTCAACGCAGAGAAATCGTTCTTTAACTTCCCAAATCATCTTACCCGAGTTGAATCGCACAAATCGAAGAATAAACGTGATTTGTTCGGTACCGAGATACATCTGGGGTCCCATCGGTAATTATCGTAAAATATACGGCATCTTTTACTTCTTTCACAACTGCTGCTTGAACTTATGTAGCGCATTCACTGATGAATTCGTTTTGTGATTGCCAGGAGAGATAGTGAGCTTGCATTCTGATTCCTTTATTTTGATGACGAGCAACTGTTTTAAGATGATTCTTTAATGTTTCGTTGCGACGAGAAATAAGTTCAAGGCAACTTAAAAAGTTCCCTTTCTCGTTCTTCTCCATCGACGAATATTGCCTTAAAACAATGTTTTCTAAGTTAGTTAAATGTAGATAATAGAAATTCTGTAATACTAAAAATAAGAACTTATTCTCAAATATTTAGAGTTCTGGCCTAGAATATTTATCTCTAAAGGATAAGTTTTGAGATGTTAAAAACAAAATTGCATCTAAAATACAACGAAGTATTTCACGCCATCAGGCTACTTCCTTTTCTAGCGCCTTTTGGAACTTTGAGTCGATTCCGCGCTGATCGACAAGAGCTGAGTGCAAAGTCTTCCAACTGAGATAATGACTTTGATGAACTGGGTTGCTATGATGACTTTTGATGCGATCACTCAATTTTCTCCAGTCATTTATTATTCCTCCATAAAGAAGAAGAGATCGATTCCCATAGGATCCGGAATTTTCACACCCAAATAAAGAACACGGGAAACAAAGTAGAGAGTTAGACGATGGGCTCCATATCAGATAATCTCGTTAAAATTTTTCTCCATTAGGCAATGCAATAAAAAGAATTTCTTTTGAAAAGGCCCTGTTATTAGAAGCATCTCGTGGGAAATCATCAGGTAAAGTTGACGGACCTTTTTTGATTAACTCTTTTTTTTCTCTTTGCTTAAGAATCGATGGCCAGAGTGCTGGGTCATTTTAAACGCCTGAATTAAAAAAAAATTAATTAAAACCTAATACTTAATTCATTATTTAACTATTTTGAATTATTGTTTGTATAAAAACCTTTATTTTCTTCGGGTTTTAATTCATCGTTAAAACTGTCGTCTGTTTCATTTGCCACTGAACCAAGAGAATGTAGATCAACATCATCATAATACGATGATTCCATTGTTTGTTCTGATTTATTTAATTCTGCCGACTTAAAAAATGTTTAAATATTTTTCTTAAATTGCTTCGGAAATAAAAGAAATATATTTATTGACCTATAGCGTAACGAAGGGCAAAATGAGACACTCGAGCACTAATTTATCTAATGCGGCCCGTCTAACAACTTTTGAAAAAATAACTTGATATTTTTCAAATCTTCAACCATCTTACTTGAAGCTTACAAAATATGAGTTGTAAAATTGCAGTGGTTTGGTCACCTGAGATCATTTATTGACAGCTCCTATCCTGTCTCCTTTTGCCCCATAATGAGACAGTTTTTTTTTTAGCAATTTAAATAAACAAATTATATAATAAATAATTATATATTTAATAATCACAAATAAATAAATAATTAAACAAAACAGATCTTTAAAAGGAAAGAAATACATTTATAATATATTATAGCTATAATCAAACTGTTACTAGTCACATAAATCACATATTGCTTGACCAGTATTTTGAAACGAACAACAGTCCGAATGAGCCCAGGTTGTGCATTTTGAACATTGACTCCACTTCTCTCCTTTTGCAGCCTTACTCCATAAACCATTACAAACATAACATTCCCAGTCTTCAACACTTAAACTTTTAACTTTTTCTTTACCCTTTCCTAATGCACTTTTATTTTCTATTTTGTGTTCTTTTAACTTTTTTGATTTTTCAGAGGATTCAAATAGTGATTTTTTGTAATGTGATGTTGTTATTATATGTGATTCTTCTCCTTTTTTTGGTGGTAAAATGATCTTTGGAATTGGTACAATATTAGAGAAGCATGGTGTTATACCAAAATCAATATTTTCTGAAGATCCTGAGGGCAATGGTAATAAGGTGCTCAAATTAACTTGTAATTCAATTTTATTAAGTTTATGTAAGATGACATTAGATCTTTTGTTTTCATTGAACTCAGTGTCTGGAATTATATTTGGACAAAAAGGATAAATTCCAGATGTACGAAAACCAGAACAGGCAATTTCTACAGAGGCAGCCTTATTATAGGCTTTGGAGAATATACCTCCAAGTTGATCAGTTGTTATTTTTCTTCCAGGATGCTCACGCAACCATGATCCACATTCTATATTATAAAAAGTTTTTAATGGTTTAAAAAAGCTTCGATCAAGTGGCTGCAACTTATGAGAAGTATGAGGTGGTAAGGTTATAATAACTAATCCATTTTCCTTTGCAAAATCTAACAAATTAATGTTTTTTGTATGAGCTTTGTGCCCATCTTAAATTAAAAAAATTTTATTTTCTATAGAAGCTCTAGTGTACTTAGTAAAGTGTTTTATATCCATCCATTTTTAGAGCACCCTCCAATTGTTCCAAAGGGAGCATGGTCGATTAGTTCTAATTTCATTCGCTTTCTCTTAAAAATCATCATTGGTGGAACAAATAGTCCAGTTACATTCATAGCACAAACAACGGTTGTTGTTACACCTCGTTCACCACTTGTTACAGAAGAAATACAATGTTTACCTTTTTTTGTTATAACTTTAACAGGTTTATGTACAGTTGTAATGCCTGATTCATCGCAGTTAAAAATTTGATGAGCTTCAAACTTATATTCTTTAATAACATTTTCTATATTATTGAAAAAAATGTTCACAGAACTGCGATTTAAACCATAAATACGATTTAAAGACAACCCCTGAGGCTTTCTTATAGAAAGGTCTGGATGTCTCTTCAAAAATCCACTTACAAAATCTCTTCCTGCAACACCATTATATTTATTAAATGGATGAACTATGTTATACTTTTCTACGTACTGGAAGACAATTTGTTGAATGTCACTTATCGACAATCCATAATAAACTAAATCCATTTCTTTAATGTAGCTAACTAATTGATTTTCAGTATCATCTGGCAATACTTTTTTAAATGAACCAAGTGATTGTTTATGAATATTACAAGATTCTAAATTCTTTAACTTTCTTTGAATCCTTTTATGTAAAGCATCTTTATTTACACTAAATGTCAAAGCTGCTTTTCTCAGTGACATTTCCTTTAATCTTACAGAGTCAATTGCCAACAACATGGTCTGCTCAGAAAATTTGCCACGATCAGTTTTTCTTTTATTGTTTCTAACCATATTTCACTTTCTATATATATATATATATATATATATATATATATATATATATATATATATATATATATATATATATATATATATATATATATATATATATATATATATATATATATATATATATATATATATATATATATATATATATATAATGAGATTTCCATCCATGGAAAAAACCATGGAATTTTCATAGGTATTAGGAACACCTTTTCAAGGAAAACTTATGAATTTTTCATGGTAAAAAAGCATGTTTTGTTTTCAAGTTTTTTTGATCTAATGTTATTTGAATTCTCATATTAAATCATAAAAGCAAATTTTATCACACTAATATTATTGAGTTCTCTTAATCTATGGGATCGCTTTCTCCGAATAAAATCAATAAACAAAATAAAATTTAAATCTTGTTAAATCCTACAAATCTTTGAAAAATAATAGCAATAATGCACCTAAAACATCAAAACTTGACTTCCCCACAATATTTAATGCATGCATATGTATAACATACTGAAAATAAATAAAACAAAAAATTACAAGTTATGTAATACTATAAATGATATACATAGTGATAAACAATTGAAATATATCAAGAAAATTTTTTTTAAAGGAAATAAAACAATTTACATGTTTATTATTTTATATTAACTATTTGATAAAAATAGTATATATAAATTTGATAATAACTTAAAGTTTTAACAAGTTAAAAAGAACCATCAATACAACATATTCAATCCAAAAAAACATCAACCCCATTTATAAGTGCGACTGCATTGTGTCTGTAGAAACAGATAGATGTCAAACAAAGTACCATTCACATTTTGATATTCATTATTTTTTCACCGTAGTTAGTCTCATTCTCCATTTCACCAATCTAGACAATACATAATACAACTATTATATACATTCTAACTAGTTTTCTTTATTTACTGATTCATTTTACTAATAATTATTATCTATTATAACTTACTTTATAATTAGGCATTATACAGAATTATGAATGTTGCCAAATGTTAGGTAACATTTATATAGAAAAAAGTAGAAATGAATATATCATTATTTATAAATAACAATTATTAGATAATTACCTCTTTTTCGCCTAAGCTATCTGCATTAAGTACAACATCGTTTATATTTCCAGTCAAACATTCCTGCCTATAATGTAACTTAATTAAAATGATTTATTCAAACTAATACATATATAAATGTTACCTGCATGTTAGAAACATTTATATAGAACAAGACAGCAACAAATATTATATTATATATTTATTTTTGTAATTAAAAAAAAAACTTACTTCTTCTTCTGAGCTATCTGCATGATGTACAACATCATTTACAAACCTGTTTTCTTCACGTCCTTACCACCTTTAAATATATTATAAAGCACCGGACTTGTTAATAAACAGCTAAATAAATAAATTAAAAATTTATATTGCAAGTCAAACCTGCCTGCTAATAATGTAGTAATTTAAATGAAATGATAAGCTTAAAATGAAAAGATTTATACACATATATAAATTTTACCTGCATGTTAGTAACATTTATATAGAACAAGACAGCAACAAATATAGTATAACTTATAAATTGTAATTTTAAGTAAAAACTTACTTCTTTGTCTGAGCTGTCTGCATGATACACAACGTTAATTATATTGTCAGTCAAACTTACCTGCTTATAATGCAGTAATTTAAATAAAATGATAAAGTGAAAATAAAAGAACTTATGCACACACCATTAAATTCAAAAATTTATTATATTTTTACTTTACTATTTAAAACATAACAAACTTATTAAATATGTAATTTATCAAGTATAGTAATGTAAAAGCATAATAAATATCAAAGTGTGTGCATAAATTAATTTATTTTAACTAAAGACGAGCACTTTACATTCGTTAAATATAAACAAATAAAAATAATTGTATTTTAATAAATAATAATGTATTATTTATAAACATTGCTTTTATATGCTTATATTTAACTACGAAGTAAAATCTTGTGCATTAATTAAGTTTCTTTTCTGATACTTTTAAAATATTACCACAGTTTTCCTTCTCCAACTAAGTGGTTCTTGGAACATCCTTACAAGTTGAATCCCAGAGATTATGTTTATATCTTTTCTGGTTAATTTAAACTCAATTCACTATTTTATTTTCACAGCTTTTGACAACTTAACAGAGCTAAAAACAACTTACCAGAACTAAAACTGAATAGAACATTTATCATAAAAAAACGTTTTTTAATACTTAATGAACATTTACCATACAATTAACTTCAAGCATTTTTATGTAATCTGAGGATATCATAAAAAAAAAAAAAAAAAAAAGATTATACTAGTTATCTTTTGTACATTAGTTATCTAATCTTATTATCTTATCTTATCTTATCTTAGTTATCTAATCTTATCTGATATACTGCTTGTATATTAATATTTTAGATAAGTTTGTTTAATATGTTATATAAGTTTTATAATAATAATTATATAAGTTTTAATGTACATTAGATTACACTATGTACATTAATACACTTGTTATTTAATGTAGATTAAAACTAAACGTTTATTTGTTGTAAACCAAATAATAATTATTTGGCAAATAATTTGCCAAGTAAGCATTAAAATTCAAACTGGTTTATTGACATACTTGCTATACTATTGCAAGTTATGCAAAGCTACTGGAAACAGTTAAAATAAGTATATGCATAAATGATATAAAATTAAATTTAATTAAAAATAATCCATTTTATAATGCATTATAATATGATAAATATATCTAGTTGCTTATGTCTGTATGTTTAGTTTGAATTATATAATCGTGATTATATAATCGTGATTATAACAAACATATCATTTATAGTCTTATTAAACACAGAAAAACAGAAGAATGCGGTAAGTATTGTTTACTCAAGTTAAAAGTAATCGTAATTGTACAAGCTATGACGCCATCTTTAAAAGCGCATTCGTAACAACCATGGCGCAGGGTAAGCTATGAAAAAAAAAATGATGGAAATTCCATGGGATTTCAATTTTCATGAAATTCACCGATGGAAATTCCAGTTTTTTATGGGAAAACCATGGTTTACTTATGGAATTCCATGGGTTTTCCATGGAATATTTCCGTAAGGGTAACAAAACCCAAAAGAAAGAGTCAAAACGATTTGGGAGAAGGTGAAACACCATCAAAGCAAGGTATTCCAAATCAATCGGAAGAAACCAACGACTTTGAAATGGAAAGGCAGTTTTCGTCAGACTCAACTGAACAAAATGAGGAACTTAATTTTGACTATGAAGATTTTGACGTTTTAAAACGTCAAAAGCGGAAACGGAATCGTAAGAATTTTCGTTTTATATTACATGTTTTTTTCTTTCTTTCTCTTTTCTCTTTACTAATTTTTTTTCTGTTCTCAAATCTGCTAAATTTTTCGATTTCTCGACGTTCTATTTTTACAATGAATGTTCTTTTTGTAAAAAGGCGCGTAAGCTGTTTTAATTCGTATTGTTGTAGAACGCGCTCATTGCGTAAAATGTTATGCTTCAGTGAGTCCAGCTGTTTGTATTGCAAAATTTTATTAGAAAACTCGTGCATTAATGTTAAGAGGTTTATGTTAGTTTTTTCATGTCAGGTAGTAAAAATATTATATATATGTTTAAGCAACACGAGTTTTCGAAATAGAAAAACTCATCCTCTCCGTCATGGCAATTAATATTTTAACGCGCAACATAAATGGTCTAAACGACAAAACTAAACACGAAAATTTTTTTGGGTTTCTCAAAAAGTCCTCTTTTGATCTTATCCTCCTTCAGGAAACAAAATCTGGACCTTCCACTGTCTAAAAGTAGATTGACGAATGGGCTGGCGAGTCTATTTGGAACTCCGGTCCGAGTCATAACTGTTGTGGGGTGGCCATTCTATCTAAATCCAACGTTTCTTTAAACGAACTAAAAAGGGACAACAACGGTAGAATATTAAATGTCATGATAAAAATTGATGAGCACGAAATGCAGGTGATAAACATTTATGCACCTCGCTCTTGGGGGTTTTGATCCTAAAATGTACCCAGAATTGGACAACATAGAGTGGACCAATAACACCGGTTTCAAAATATTGGGTGTTATTTTTTACTCCAGGTTGAGTAATACTACCAATTTCAACTGGCTAGTAACTCTAAACAAAGTAGAGAAAGTTTCTGGGACTAGGTACTTTATCACTTAGGGGAAAGACTATGTTGATAAATACGCTAGCATTGTCAAAAGTGTGGTTTCTGGCAAATGTACTGCCCATTCCTGAATGGTTAATAGAACGTTTGCACAGCGCCATCTTTGAAAATCTGTGGCAAAAGACCAATTTCAATCCGGTCAAAAGAGAGACACTTTTTTACCCGTCAAAAGCGGGGGTCTCGGAATCTGTTTACCGAAGGAGCAAAGCCTTGCGCTCCGCCTCAAAATACTCTTTCAGCTGAAAGAATGCGGAGAGGATAACACTCGCGATTATTACTACTTTTCAAAGTACTAGTTAGCAAGTTCACTTATTAAATTTACTAACCAAAACCCAAGCTGGAACTTTTTGAAAATAGAACAATTTTCCAAAACACTGGAACAACAAAATGTCTCAGTACTACAAAACAACAATTGAAATATTAGGCAAAAACGGGTCCATCTTTAACATCCCCCTAAAATCAACAAAAAATCTTTATTTAGAAGTGGCAAAAAACAAAAAGACAGTCGTACCAGCAGAACTTTTCTGGAACGGTTCAACAAAAACAACAATGCCGTCGACCCAAATTTGGTTGACACTCACTCAAACCATGAGTGAGATATGGAACAGCAGATGAAACCACATGTTTAGTAACATAAAAATCGACTCAATGGCAGTGATCAGGCTAATAATCAGGAAAATTAGGAATATTATTACCTTAAAATATAATAGACATTTCTCTAATTCGATTGCGCAACCATTTTCTCATCATGAAAAAGAGGCCAGTAAGGACAAAAATGTAAACAAATAGCGAAAAACTACTTGAGTAATATTTTAAAATAAGTTAATTATCTAATAAATAATGTATGGATTTAATAGCGACTGCCCTAAAAATAAAATAATTTAGTATCTAATATTGCAATATATAAACAGAAATAGTAAAATAGAAAAAATTTAAATTTGAAAAAATGTGTATCTTTAAAAGAAGATATGTACAATCTATTTACAAAATATGTAAAACCTATTGCGTTTCTCCCTGTGTTCACAAGACACAAGTTCACAATTAATAGTTATATGGACAAACGTTAAATGAAAAAAAATATTTAAAAAACTTAAATAATATATAATAAAAATTTTTTGAAACTGGACTGTTAGCTCAACTATGCAACCACTAGCAACTCCGGATGAACTTGTTAACAAGTCCATCTGGACTTGCACCAAGCCAGTGGTCTTTTAGTCATTTTAAAATCGATTTAAAGGTATATTAAATTAAAATAATTGTTCTTACACTAAAACAAATGAATTTTCCTTACACTAAGAAAAATGCAAACCTTAAAAGAAAATGATTTAGTCAAACAATAAATAGTTTATACTGGTTCATTACCTACAGGCTATTATCCACAAGTCAAAAATGGACTTATCTGGACTAATGTTTGTTAATAGTTTATGCTTATAACAAAATTATTATTGCAAACACTGACTTTGATTAATGCTAGTTTTTAGATATTACTGATAAACTTTTTTTAATAAAAAATATATTTTATCGTGCTTAATAATAAATATTATATTTCTTATATTTTTACTGTTTTATAAGAACTGTTTCATAAAGTTTACATAAGTTTTCATAAGCAGTTTACCGTCCAAATTTGATTAGTTGATCCATATAAAACATTTTTTTTTCATTTCATAAAACAATTCCTTTCGTTCTTGCTTTTTTTAATTATTTGTTGTATGGCACATTCCAAATTTTTATGCTGCTATTGGTGTTATTGTTGACTTTCTATAACCTCTTCGTTCATTTAAAAAGGCAAGAATGTTTAGTGTTACATCTAAAGGTTTACGCAGATCATTAAATAAAAAACCCTATCAGCCGTTACAGAATCATCACTCTCCCATAGCTTTTTTTTGCAAAGGCAATTGCTTAACTATGAAAAACAAATATCAGAGCCAAAAAAATTAGTTTACTAACAAATGATAATGCACCAGAAAGAGCGATTCCAACTAATACTTTATAGGTAATGCAGTAAACTGTACGTTGGAAGTCTTTGACAAAACAATTTGATACAATTAATAATTTTCACTTGAGTATATGTCTCTTTAAAACATTCCGGTATATTATGTTTAAGTGATTTAAATTTGGCCAAATTTGTTTTGCACAAAGTTTAAGGTGTATAAAACTTGGCTGTGTATATAAGGTATTTCTAAACAGATTGGTGCTTTAAATAACCAGATAAGTAAGCAAGTGAAACTTCTTCAAGTAAAACTTCAAGTCTAAGCTATGTTAAAAACATAAATAGTTGGTCAATCAGTTTCATTTTTGACCGCGTATGGATTCTGGTGTGAAATATAAAGGAGATGAAAACAATTCTTTTCTCCTAGCCTTTTCTCAGAAAATTATTGTCCATGTTTTCACATTCTTTTTCAAGATTTAAATATTCAAATAAAACTTTTCATTTTTTCATGCCAGTAAATGAGTTGAAATATTTAAAATATTTAATTTTCAACATTTTCGTAGTTAAAAATATTACTTTTGAATTGTTTTTTTTTTTCATGTTTTTGAACTTTTATATTCTTCAAGCAAGCTTCTATAACTTTCATGACATACTTTCAACTTTTTTCAATGAATGTTTTTTTGGTTAACAAAAGTTTACATTTTTTATAATCAACTTTTTCCGTAGAATCAATTATTGTATGAGTTTTTTTTATAAATATTAGCTGTAAAATCTAGATATTTTGACATTTTTCATGGAGATTTTCTAGGTAATTTCTTTTGCAGTGTGTTGAATGTCAATAATTCGTTTTTCCAAGCTTTGTAAACATCGAATTTTGTAAGCATCAACTTTATTTTTCTCCGTATTGCTATTGTAAAACGAACTTCCACATAGTGTGATAAAACAATACATTCTTCTTCAATCTTTTTTCATTTCCTTGTTGGAGAAAGACTTGTTTAAAAGAGAGAAATTATTATTTAAATTTAATCATTTTGAATTTGAGTTTTTATCAGTTTATATTTTTGTCCTTACTGGCCTCTTTTTCAAGCTGAGAAATTAGTTGCGCAATCGAATTAGAGAAATGTCTATTATCATGTCCGTAGAAACACTACGGATATTTTTTATCAATCTTTTAGTATTAAAAATATAATATGCCAAGTAGAGAATGGAAAACTGAAACTAGTTATATGAGCTAGGCTAATACACTAGCTCATTAAAAGAACTATATGTTTAGTGATGCTTTCCATTTCTCTACAAATTATTATTTTTATTTTTTTTTTTCTGTTATTTTATTATATATTTCTTCCCTTAAATAAAAAACATCTTGTAACCATTTCTAAACATCTTACTCTTCCGCTTTACCTTATCTTTCAATTCCTCTCCGCACAATTGCACTTAAATAAAAAAACAAAAAATACAAAAAAATACAAAATCAAAAAACAAAAAAAATATAAAATCAAAAATTGCAAAAAATGTAAAATTAAAAACAAAACACACAAAAAAAAAAAAAAATGAAATATGGAAAAAAAAAACAAAAAAAAAAATAATATATATATATATATATATATATATATATATATATATATATATATATATATATATATATATATATATATATATATATATATATATATATATATATATATATATATATATATATATATATATATATATATATATATATATATATATATATATATGAAAATTATTGTAACACCATTATATTGTTAAAATGTTATTGTAAAGAGATTGAATGCTTCTGCTCAATTATTATAACTGATATATTGTAAAACTTTCATATTTACCAATATGATTTAATGTATTTTAATAAAATGAATATTTACGCTCCTAAAGTGCCGAGAGAAAGGCGCCTTTTTTTTGGCGACCTTGGTGAATTCTTGCAGGACACAGGACTACCTGTCCTGTTGGCCGGAGACTTCAACATGGTCGAAAGCCTGCCTCTCGAAACAGAAGGCACCAACAAAGCTAAATATCACACCTACGGCGTGGACGAACTCGGGGTAATCCAAGGTAAGTATAACCTAGTTGTTGTTTTTCGTTCAAAATTCCCAAACAAAAGAGAATTCACATGGCGAAATCAGAAGGCAAAATGTAGACTTGACCGAATCTACTGCACTGATAAAGTCGCCAAAAAAACAACATATACTAAAATTCTTACCAATCCTTTTTCCGACCACGAGTTCGTGACAACAACTGTCAATTTTAGTAAAACAAGGAGAGGACCAGGATACTGGAAAATAAATTGTTCTCTTTTGGAAATAGAGGTGAATAGGCAAAAAATTGAACTCTTAATTAAAGATTGGCAAGCAAAAAAACGGTCCTATAAGTCTATTTTAAAATGGTAGTACGACTGCAAACTTTTTGTTAGGGTTGAATTACAACATATATCGATACAGGAAAGCGCGAAAAAACACATCAAAAAGATTGAAAACGAAATCCAACGGGAGCGACAAAACGCTAACCCGAATTTAGATAGCATCAAAGAAAAACGCGATGCTCTTTTCTTGCTCCAGTTTCCAGGAGCGTTTATTCGCACGAAACAAAAACTAATCGAAGAAGGAGAAAAACCTTCAAAGTTTTTGTATAATTTAGAAAAAACTCAACAGCGGAACAAGTCAATTACTGAAATTCGTAAGAATGACGGCACATTGACGAGTGAACCTGGTGAAATACTAAACTCCCTTGTTTCTTATTATAAAAACATTTACGCCAAAACGAAATTATGCAAAGACAGCCAAAACTATGTCTTGTCACACATCACTAAACGTTTAAGTGATGATGAAAATAAAATTCTAAATACCCGCCTAACCGGTGTGGAGCTAAAAGAAGCCCTTTTTAAATTTGAAAACGGAAAATCTCCGGGCTTTGATGGACTTCCAGCTGAATTTTACAAAACTTTTTGGCACATTTAAGAAAAAGATTTTGAAGAGCTTGCATACGAAATACTTTTTGTAGAAAAAATACTAGTCACTCTATGAAAAAATCAATAATTTCACTGATTCCCAAACAAGGAGATCTTACTAAATGCAAAAATTGGAGGCCCATATCCTTAATCGGCGCTGATTACAAAATAATCACAAAAGCGCTGGCCCTGAGACTTGCAAAAGTAATGAGGAAAATTATAGAACCAAATCAAACTTGCGGAATTCCAGGTAGAACAATATTCTCAAATTTACACTTAGTCCGTGATCTAATAGATAACGAGGAATTTAAAAATCTACCTAGTTTTATTTTGTCAATAGATCAAGAAAAGGCGTTTGACAAAGTCGATCGTGCGTTTTTGCTGCAAATTCTCCAAAAATTTAATCTCGGAGAAAATTTTGTATCCTTCATTGACACCCTATATTCAGAAGTTTCGGCATCTGTTTTGAATTGCGGTTTCATGTCAGCCTCTTTCCTTACGGAAAGAGGAGTTAGACAAGGCGACCTTCTCTCTCTTTTGCTGTATGTTTTTGTCGCTGAAGCTCTCGCTTTGATGATCAGAACAGACAGCAGAATAGAGGGTTTTCCACTACCAGGAACATCAAAACCCCTTAAAATGCAGCAGTACGCAAATGATTCGAACTTCTTTGCCAGGGACGTAAAATCAGTCCGCTTTTTTTTCGAAAAAGTAAAACTGTTTGAAAAAGCAAGTGGTTCAGTGATCAATGCCTCAAAAACCAAGGGTCTCGCTCTTGGGGGTTTTGATCCTAAAATGCACCCAGAATTGGACAACATAGAGTGGACCAATAACACCGGTTTCAAAATATTGGGTGTTACGTTTTACACCAGACTGAGCAATACTACCAATATCAACTGGCTAGTAACTCTAAACAAAATAGAGAAAAAGCTCAAGTTTCTGGGACTACGTACTTTGTCACTTAGCGGAAAAACTATGTTGATAAATACGTTAGCAATGTCAGAAGTGTGGTTTCTGGCAAACATGCTGCTCGTTTCCAAATGGGTAATAGAACGTTTGCACAGGGCCATTTTCGAAAATCTGTGGTAAAAGACCAATTTCAATCCGGTCAAAAGAGAGACACTTTTTTTCTCGGAATTTTATCACCGAAGGAGCAAAGTCTAGAACTTCGCCTCAAAACACTCTTTCAACTGAAAGAATGCGGAGAGGATGACACTCATAATTGCTACTACTTTTCAAAGTACTGGTTGGCAAATTCACTTATAAAATATACAAACCAAAACCAAAGCTGGAAATTTTTTAAGACAGAACAATTTTCTAAAACACTGGGACAACAAAACGTCTCAGTACTATAAAACTACAATTGATATATTAGACAAAAACGGGTCCCTTTTTACCATCCCCCTAAAAACAACAAAAAAATCTTTATTTAGAAGTGGCAAAAAACAAAAAGACAGTCGTACCAGCAGAACTTTTCTGAAACGGTTCAACAAAAACAACAATGCCGTGGACCCAAATTTGGAAAAAGAACTTTACCTCCCACGCATGCGGACCGACTCAAAACATCCTATTTCGATTTTTACACAACAGTCTACCTTCTGCGGCCTTGCTAGCCAAAAGCACAAGGCAACAGATCGTTAAAAACAACAAATGCAAAACTTGTGATAAAATCGAGGACAATCTACTAATCTTTGCCTATTGTCCTCCCTCTGTTGAAATTTGGGAATATTTTAAACACGTATATAACTCCTTGACAACCCAAAACTTTTATTCTCCGATAAACTCGATTTTTTCAATCGGGATTGCGAATTTATCGGAAAAAAACCCTACCTCGCAACTGCTGTTGACACTAACTCAAACCATTATGAGCGAGATATGGAACAGCAGATGCCGCCACATGTATAGTAACATAAAAATTGACCCAATAGCAGTGATCAGGATAATAATCAGGAAAATCAGGAATATTATTACTTTAAATGTAATTATCATGCCCGTAGAAACTCTACGGACATTTTCTGCCAACTCTTTTGTGTTAAAAATATAATATGCCAAGTAGAGAATGGGAATCTAAAACTAAACATATGAGCTAAGCTAATAGACCAGCTCAATAAAAGAATTATATGTTTAGTGTTTTTTTCCATTTCTTTACAAATTATTATTTTTACAACATAATATTATTAACTATAATTAAATAATCACTGCCAGACATTATTTTATCACTTATAATTTCCTTATTTAAATGTTTTTTCTATAGCGTACGTAATGTGCTTTTTGTGTTAAAGTCCTGTAATTGTTTCTGTTATTCTATTATAAATTTCTTCGTTTAAATAAAACTTTCTTGTAACCTTTTTTAAACATCTTACTCTTCTACTTTACCTTATTTTTCGATTTCTCTCCGCACAATGGCACTAAAATAAAAAAAAAACAAACAAATTCAAAAAAATATAAAATCGAAAATCACAAAAAATATATAAAATTAAAAAAAAAAAAAAAAAAAATTTAATGAATTCACTTGTATTAAAAATTTGATATTTACCAATATGATTTAATGTATTTTAATAAATTCACAAAATCAATAATTTCACTGATTCCCAAACAAAGAAATCTAACTGAATGAAAAAATTGGAGGCCCATATCCTTAATCGGCGCTGATTACAAAATAATCACAAAAGCGCTGGCCCTAAGACTTACAAAAGTAATGGGGAAAACCAAATCAAACTTGCGGAATTCCAGGTAGAAACATTTTTTCAAATTTACATCTAGTACGTGACCTAAAAGATTACGCAGAATTTAAAAATCTACCTAGTTTTATTTTAACAATAGACCAAGAAAAGGCGTTTGACAAAGTCGATCGTGCGTTTCTGTTGCAAATTCTCCAAAAATTAAACCTCGGAGAAAATTTTGTATCCTTTGTAAACGGTAATGGGAAACCCTCTATTCTGTGACAGCAGAATAGAGGGTTTCCCATTACCAGAAACACCAAAACCACTTAAATTGCAGCAGTACGCAGACGATTTGAACTTTTTTGCCAGGGACGTAAAATCACTCCGCTTTTTTTTCGAAACAGTAAAACTATTTGAAAAAGCAAGTGGTTCAGTGATCAATGCCTCAAAAACAAGGGTCTCGCTCTTGGGGGTTTTGATCCTAAAATTTATCCTGAATTGGACAGCATAGAGTGGAGCAATAACACCGGTTTTAAAGTTTTAGGTGTTACGTTTTACACCAGACTGAGTAATATTACCAATTTCAACTGGTTAGTAACTCTAAACAAAATAGAGAAAAAACTCAAGTTTCTGGGACTACGTACTTTGTCACTTAGGGGAAAGACTATGTTGATAAATGCGTTAGCAATGTCAAAAAATTGGTTTCTATCAAACGTGTTGCCTACTCCTGATTGGATAATAGACCGTTTGCATAGAGCCATCTTCGAAAATTTGTGGCAAAAGATCAATTTCAATCCGGTCAAACGTGAGACACTTTTTTTACCTGTCAAAGGCGGGGGTCTCGGAATTTTATCTCCGAAGGAGCAAAGTCTTGCACTTCGCCTCAAAACACTCTTTCAATTGAAAGAATGCGAAGAGGGCCAAACTCACGATTGCTACTACTTTTCAAAGTATTGGTTGGCAAGTTTACTTATAAAATATACGAACCAAAACCAAAGCTGGAACTTTTGAAACAGAACAATTTTCCAAAACACTGGGACAACAGAATGTCTCAGTACTACAAAACAACAATAGAAGATTTAGGTCAAAACGGGTCCCTGTTTAACATCCCCCTAAAATCAACAAAAAATTTTTACTCAGAGGTGGCAAAAAACAAAAAGTCGTTACAGCAGAAATTTTCTGGAACGGTTCAACAAAAGAACTTTACGATCCGATGGCAGTGATCAGGGTAATAATCAGGAACATCAGGAATATTATTACTTTAAAATATAATTATCATGTCCGTAGAAACACTACGGACATTTTCTGTCAACTTTTTTGTGTTAAAAATATAATATGCCAAGTAGAGAATGGGAATCTAAAACTAAACATATAAGCTAAGCTAATAGACCAGCTCAATAAAAGAATTATATGTTTAGTGTTTTTTTCCATTTCTCTACAAATTATTATTTTTACAACATAATATTATTAATTATGATTAAATAATCACTGCCAGCCTTTATTTTATCACTTATAATTTCCTTATTTAAATGTTTTTCTATAGCGTATGTAATGTGTTTTTTGTGTTAAAGTCCTGTAATTGTTTCTGTTATTTTATTATAAATTTCTTCCTTAAAATAAAAATTTCTTGTAAACCTTTTTTAAATATCTTATTCTTCCACTTTACCTTAATTTTCGATTTCTCTCCGCACAATGTCACTAAAATAAAAAAACAAAAAAAAAAATGCAAAAAAATATAAAATCGAAAAACACAAAAAAATATAAAATTAAAAAATAAAAAAAGTATAAAATTATAAAAACATTACAACAATATTACAAAAAATTACAACAATATGAAAAAAAAAAAAAAATTTATATATATATATATATATCTATGGTAACAGTTTTGTAAAATTGTGAAATTAATATATTGTAAAGCTATAATATTTAGTAGTGGAGATAATGTAATTTATAAAATTGTAAATAAATATTATTTTATAAAAAAAAAAAAAGAAAAAGCGATCTATACATTCAAAATCTTGGTGGACTCCTGAATTAATTCAAAGTAAAAAAGTTCTTTTCTTTCATTTTCAAAAATAAAGTGAAGTGGGATTCGTAAAAGACACTACTTCTTCTATCTTTAATCGCTACCTATTTGCTCGGAAGAATTTCCGCAAAGCCGTCAAAGCAGCCCAAAACAATAGGCCAAATCAACAATACATAAAAATTGAAAAACTTAAAAAATCTAACCCAAAAAACTTATGGAATTCTTTTAGAAGTATTGAAAAGGATTCAAATTCAAAACATTCTTACTATAAATAATAAAAAAGATAAAGAATCCATCACCGCAGAACTTGCTACTCTTTTTGAAAAACGGTTAAACACTGAGAGAATAACTAATCGAGTTACTAATATTCGAATTCCACCTTGCAAAAATCCTGATGAGATAGACAGCTATTTCATGTCTAAAATCAAATAAGTGCAAGGATCATTACAATATCACTGCAGAACATTTAAAACATGCCCAATGTGAAGCACTAACACAATGGTTAAGAAAGTTATTTCACTTTTCAATTAATCACGGATGGACCCCTACATTAATGTCAACATCAGCTATCATACCTCTAGTTAAATCCTATAAAAAATCACTTACCGATCCAAACAATTATCGCGGTATCAGCATTATTCCAATATTTACTAAAATTTTAGAATACCTTATCTTACTCATATGCCCGGAGATAAAAGAAACTCGTCAACTTCAATTTGGTTTTAATAATAAGAGCTAAAACCTCCATGCTGAATTTGTTGTAAGCAAAACAATTAGGCATTATAATCGCAAAAATTCGCGTGTTTATTAATGTTCATTAGATGCTGAAAAGGCTTTTGACAGCTGCAACTAGAATGTTCTTTTTAATAAACTCTCTCCAAATAGTTAACACTATATCTTCTTTATACCGTGGCGGCAGTGCAACTGTCTCATACCTAGGTTGCAAATCAGTCTCATTTGATCTTAAGCAAGGAGTAAGACAAGGATCAATTCTCTCAACCTACCTATATAACATATACACTGAGAAGCTACTCGAAACTATAAAAAATGATGAAATTGTTGGTACTACTTTATATGGAAACTTGATTTGTGTTGTAGCTTATCCTGACGACATCATTCTTCTCAGCTCTACTCTCTCGGGCCTAAAAAAACTTATTTCAACGTGTAACATATACAACAATTTAAACGGAATAAAACTTAATGCTTTCAAAACGGAACTTTTGCTCTCTGGAGAAAGACAAATAATGAACTGCACAATATTTCTAGACAACTATTGAATTATACTTCGTGGGAAACTTAATCATCTCGGCTTTACTTGGGATACAAAAAAATCAATTTTTGCTTCACTAAATAGAATGAATATTGATAGTAGGGTATCAAATTTTCGGGCAACAGTGCAAACTCTTATTCAATCCGGAATCCAGTTTGCATATCCAAGTTCTATTATCCAATTATATAAATCATTAGCAGTTCCGACGTTAACCAATGGTCTAGAGCTCTGTAAAAATAAAGATGCAACAATGAAAAGACTCGACACATTTGGAAGGAGCGCACTTAAATAAATTTTTAGTGTCTCCAAGTATAGTAAAAACCATATACACTCTCTATTTAAAATTAAGGAGATGTCAAATTATATACACCAAAACAAAATAAATCTATTTATCCGCCTTTTAAACAATAAAGTAACCTTTGAAATCATTAACTCCCAACTTAACTACGTTATCAATATAATAAATCCGGTAATACTAAACTGAAAAATACTAAACGGAATAATACTAAATAAACTAAATAATAACTAATATAATAATAAAATAATATAATACATATAATAGTATATAATAATAAATATATATATAATAATAAAATATATATAATAATATAAATAATAAAACTAAATAATACTAAATAAACGGAAAAATACTAAACGGAAAAAAACACATCTAAACTACTTTTCAGTATTCGTGTTAATAAGGTATTCACTATATTGAAAATATTCGCTACAAATTTGCGTAAATATAAAGCGATTTGGTATATTTATGTATTTAGTCGAAGTTTGTCGAAGTACTCTCGGTAGGTCAATCTTCGTTTTCGAATAAGTTATGATTAATAAGTTTGATGAGGCTAGCTACGCTGAAACGGTGTCGAATAAAATAAATCGAATGAAATGCGGACTCGATTTAAATGTCTTCATGAATCAATCTGAAATTTTTAATAGAAAATATCAAGAAAACAGAGCGCATGAAATTTATTAAAAGGTTTCACCTATTGTGGGTAATAATAAAACTAAAACAGCTTAACCTACAATGCAAAAGGATATTGGGTATTTGAGATGAAACAAAAAGAAGATGCAATTATACTTAACGATTCAACTTTTCTCTTATCTGGTAGCAACCAAAGCATAAGTTCTAAAATACGAAGCGAAATTGGTCTCCTTATAACCGTAAAATGTGACCATCTTATTGATGACCATGAAATTCTAGCAGAGATGAAACACTTTGTATCTGAGTTATATAAAATAACTCATACAACATATCGATTCGACAGAAACCTGAAAGACGTTCAAAGGCTCTTTAGAATTAAGCCAAGCGTCAAACCAAAACCATCCGATAGTAAAATACCATTGCTTTTTCCGAATCAGTTTTTGAGATTGTTAAAAGCAAAAAGTATAAAAGAGATGAATGAAAACAAAATCAAACGCAAAATGAACAAAATGAATTAACCGTAAACGAAACTGAAACTAATATAGAACATGAAAAAATACAATCGAAAAGCGATAAAAAAATCAATGCAAAAAATGCTTCACCCACGACTCCTCAAAAGGAAGGCCCGAGAAGAAAACCGAGACAAAGGGCGGTATGAATAAAAAATTTAATTTTATCTCTATGACTATATATTGTTTATTTATTTATTTTTTATTTCACGAAAAATGTCAGTGTATACTATTCCATCTGCCATTTTATTTTTACACATTCCCTTACTCTTTTTTGCCACATCCGTCATTATCGTACTACTGAATCGTTAAAAACCGCGTTCAAACAAAAATGGAAGCAATCAAAATTTTTTCAGTCAATATTTGTGGTCTTGCTGACGTAAAAAAACAAAGCAAAAATTTAGAAAAATGAACTTTGATTTTTTTCTTTTACAAGAAACGCATCTTAACTCTCAAGCCGCAAAAATATTTATAAATCTTTGGAATAATCCAGGCTATTACTCAAATGGTACATCTCACACAGCAGGAACATTAATATTAATCAAAAGTCTAAACTATAATTTAAAAGTAATTGAACATTTCGAAGACCCTAATGGTCATTATAATTATATTATAGTGGAAAACGATTACCACATTTTTTTAATAATAAACGTTTACGCAACATCTGGTTCGAGCTACACTGATTAAATCAAAAGAAAAAAGTTATTTAAAAACATATCTAAAAAAATAAAAATTAAAAACTCAAATAATCAGTTTACTATACTCGGGGGTGATTTCAACATGGTTTTAGACGATAAAGATCGCTACCCGCAAATCAACAGAAGAAAATGCCTGTCAACATGTAATTTAAAAACTTTATTAACTACACTTAATATCGTAGATACCTGGCGCATTTTAAACCCAAATGCCCTAAAATACACATACAAATCAACAAACAATATATCTTTTTCTCGCCTTGATAGACTATAAATAAGCAAACACATGCGCCAACATATATTTATTGAACATGAACCAATGACTTTTTCAGACCATCAAAATGCTGTATGCGCCACCATTTCGATAAACAACATAGACATTGGAAAAGATGTTTGGGTTCTAAACAATAAAAACCTAAGCAAACATAATTACACTGACAACGTTTCAAAAATTATTAAAATAGGATACCAAAAAATTTACTATTCTGAAAACAAAACATCTGACTGGGATCTTCTAAAACAAGAAATAAAACTTTTTTCACAAAAATTCAGTTAATCTGAAGCTAAAAAAACACGAGTTGAGGAATACAGAATCAAAAAACAACTGGAAAACTCGCTTAAAAAGTCCCACTATAACCCTAGAATGAAATACCTCAGCGAAATTCTCAAGATAAAACTTCAAAGCTTTGTAATTAATATAATAAAAGGCGCAGAAATTAGAGCAAAAGTAGAATGTAGAACGGATGGTAAAAAATCCAGCAAATTCTTTTTTCAGCTCGAAAAAGCAAAAACATCTAAACAAATCATCACTCTAATAAAAGACAAATACGGAAATGAAAAAACAAACACTCGAGAGATTACTAAATGTTTTGAACAATTTTATAAAAAACTGTATAAAAACACTAATAATGACGTCACACTACAAAAATTTTTACTCGATAACACAGACATAAAAAAGAATCACCAAGCAACAACAACGAACCGATTATGCTTTATGAAGTCGAAAATGCAATAAAAACTATGAAAAACAATAAATCACCTGGAAATGATGGCTTAACGGCTGAGTTCTACAAATCTAATTTTAACAGTTTAGGTGAAAGTTTAGTTAAAATTCTAAACGAAATAATAAAAAAAAATGAGATGTCTATTACACAAAAACAAGCCATAATAACATGCCTTTTTAAAAAAGGTGATAAAAGTGACATTTCAAACGACCAATATCTCTATTAAACACGGACTACAAAATTCTTACCAAAATAATATCAAACCGACTCACAAAAATTCTCCCAACCATCATAAACGAAAACCAAACATCAAGTATCCCCCATAGAACAGTTTACCAAAACCCGGCATATACCAGAGACATAATGTATATTGCAAATAAAAAAAATTTAGATGCCTCTATAGTAGTAGGAAAAGGAGAGTTCAGAGCCATTTTTATTTTCATCCCTATTTTCAACCATAAATTAATATTAATATTGGGTTAACATTGAACCATATTGTGTATAAATTATTTCAACAAGAAATAATTTTTTATTTTAAAAAATTGATTTTTTAAAATAAGTGTTAATTTTTATTTCTTGTTATGAAATGTTACGAAAAATTCTTGCATGACGTCATAGGTCACGTGACTTTTTCTTGCTTCTTATTTTTCTTTATATCCAATAGAATGTAAATATTTTAATACTTCAAGATGACCATTTTCTGCAGCATTATCAATTGCTTTTTCTGTTCCTTTATACCCTAATTCATGTAAATATTTTAACATTTCAAGGCGACCATTTCTAGCAGTATTATTAAATACCCAATTTAAACATCTATATCCTTTTGAATGTAAATATTTTACTACTTCAAGGTGACCATTAATTGCAGCATAATTAATCGCACATTTATCACATTTATACCCTAATTCATGTAAATATTTTAATACTTCAAGATGACCATTTTCTGCAGCATTATCAATTGCTTTTTCTGTTCCTTTATACCCTAATTCATGTAAATATTTTACTACTTCAAGGTGACCCCTAATTGCAGCATTATCAATTGCATCTTCTGTTCCTTTATACCCTAATTCATGTAAATATTTTAACATTTCAAGGTGACCATTTCTAGCAGTATTATTAAATACCAAATTTAAACATCTTTCCTTTTGAATTCCTTTTGAATGTAAATATTTTTGTACATCTTCTGTACTTTTTTTACCTAATTGAATTAATAATATAAATAAATCAAGTCTTTCTATACTTGCAGCAAAATCAACCTTATTACCTTTTTTATACCCATACTTTTTTAATATTTCATTAATATAATATATTTGAGTTGAAGGTTTTATTAAAAATTTATTATTCTCAAAATTATTTTCTAATTCCATTCTTTTTTATATACACAAGAAAATTATTTAAATCATTTTCAAAATTTTTTTATTTTTTTAATACGCATGCGCTAGATTTGCTTACGCGTAGTAGCGCTTATGCGTAGTAGAATTGTCTTAACTTTATCACTACTAGAATTTATAGTCACTACGTGTATCAAAATTATTAAATATATCCATTTTTAACAGCTGAATTAAAAAACGATTCTGTACCTTTATACCCTAATTCATGTAAATATTTAATAATTTCAAGGTTACTATCTGATGGTGATCTTATCTGATTATCTACTGCACAATTAAATAAATATTAATTTCCTTTATACCCTAATTCATGTAAATATTTAATTACTTCAATATTTCCACTTTCAACAGCATTATAAATTACCCATTCATTTCCTTTATACCCTAATTCATGTATATATTTTAATATTTCAAGGTGACCATTTCTAGCAACACAATTAATTGTACAATTGTCACATTCATACCCTAATTCATGTAAATATTTAAAAATTTCAATATTTCTATGTTTAACAGCATAATTAGTTACCCATTTATCACCTTTATACCCTAATTCATGTAAATATTTAATTACTTCAAGATTTCCACTTTCAACAGCTAAATTAAATGCCAAATATTCATTTTCATACCCTAATTCATGCAAGTATTTTACTACTTCAAGGTGTCCACTTTTAACAGCTAAATCAAATGTCGAATATTTATCACCTTTATACCCTAATTCATGTAAATATTTTAACATTTCAAAGTTTTCATTTTCTACAGTAGAATTAATTGTGTGTTTTTCACATTTATACCCTAATTCATGCAAGTATTTTACTACTTCAAGGTGGCCATTTCTAGCAGCTTTATCTATTGCCCATTCTGTTCCTTTATACCCTAATTCATGCAAATATTTTACTTGTTCAAGGTTACCATTTTCTGCAGCTTTATCAATTGCATCATTTATTCCTTTATACCCTAATATTTTTTTAATATCATCATCTTCTTCATCATCTTCATTATCTTCATCTTCTTCATCATCTTCATTAACTTCATCTTCTTCATCATCACTATATTCAGTAGTTTCTGTAATTTCAGTAACTTCAGTAGTAACTGTAGTAACTGTAGTAACTTCAGAATCTTCAATCATTTCAATATCATGAATATTAATAATATTTAATTTTTCTTCTATTAATCTTAATCTTTCATCTATTGATTTTAAAAATGAATTTTGCATTTCGTTTTCCATTCTTTTTATTATGTAAAGAAAATTATTTAACTCATTTTTAATTTTTTGATTTAAAATATTTTTACAATTAATAAAAAATAAAAATGAATGATGAAATTAATGAAATATCTGAATTTCAAAAAGAATTTAAACTTTTTGAAGAATTATTAAAATTTGAATTTGAAGAATCAGATTCTGAAGATGACACTTATTATACATCTGATGAAGCTACTTATTTTACATCTGATGATGAAGATGAAGTTAAAGAAAAACCTATAGTTCCAATTCCTTTAAAAACAGTTCAAATCATGGAACTGCATAAAGATAAGCTGAAATGGATTAATTATGTTCCAACTTATAATGTTATTAATGATGATTATCCTGCTATAGATAATACTTCTTTTAAAAAACATTACAAAAAAAGAAAATTTAGTTTTGAAAAACCATTTAATGTAGATATTAATTTTACTGAAGATGGAAAACCTTCAACAATTCATTTTGTAGAGAAACTACCCATTTTCTGTAAAAATATTTTAAATGATAATTATTGTCCTTTTGGAAGAAAATGTAAATACAATCATGATATTCCTTATTGTAATACTGTAAAGGAAAGACTAATATGCACTAAATCTTCATGTCAATATAGACATTTATCTCTATGTTCTGAATACCCTAAATGTAAGAATAAAAAGTGTAGATTGTTTCATCCAAAAAAGTCAGAATTATTTAAATTAAGAAAAGCAAAGACTAAATTATGTAAATATATTCTTGATAAAAAAGAATGTAAAAATATAAATTGCAAATATGCTCATTCTTTTAAAGAAATTGAAGAAAATGTAGAAATTTGTCATTATACTCCATGTAAATTAGTAGAGAGTAAATTAAAGAAAAATAAAAAAGGAGAAAAAATATTAATATATAAAAATGTTAATAATAAAAAGTGTAATTTTTTACATCAAGGTGAAAGCATTTTAAATTATATTGCTAGAACTTTAAAAACAAAATAGATATGAGGATTACAGAGTGATTTAAAAAAATCTTTACATTTATAAAATGTATAATAGTAGAATGTTTTTATATTATGAAAAGCATGAACAATATAGAATAACTTTTAATATTAATTCAGATTTAGAACATAGAGCAATAAATGATAGACATATTAAAGTATTCGCACAAGAAGATTTTACTGTAAAATCAAATTCATATAATAACATTTCTTTAATGTGTGGTGTTGAAATAGATAAAGGACATATAGTGATTTCAATTGCAGAAAATTATAAACCAGAACTAAATTTACTAAATTCTATTGTAACAGAGTCTACTGACGATATTAAAATAACTGTATATAATAACGATAAAAAAGATATAAACATTAAAAAAGGAGATTTGTTATGTTGTATATCAACTTATAATGGTGTTTTAAATGCAAATTATATATCACATAGAGATGCTTTAGAACATGTTAAAGAAGAACAAATTAGACAACAAAATGACTCAGGAACTAAACAGAAAAGTGATAAAGAATCTGTAAAATCTTTATTATCAAGTATAGAAGAAGTAATTAAAGATAAACCTAGTATAGATAAATCTGATGAAGATATATTTAATTTTGGTAAAAAGTGATTTAGCGAAGCATTGATAACAAAAGTGATTTAAAACAAATTTTTCTTTATAGAAAAAAGAAATGCTATGTAATAATGGATATAATAATGAATGTAAGCAGCTTTATCCAGATCTTAACCAGTTTTCAGAAAATCCATCTGCACCACCACAATCTATAGATCATAACTTTAGATTACAAAAGATTAGTGAAATTCAAGATAAAATAGAATGTGAAAGGAAAAGAAGAGAGATTTTAAGTAAAAAATATCACAGAGCTGTAAGAATCATTTCAGCAGTTGATAATACATTACTTGCAACTACTATGACATTAGGAGCTGTTGGTATTGGTTTTTTAACAACAATAGTTGGAACACCAGTAGCTATTGCATGTGAAGGTGCAGCATTAGGTATGGGTGTATTATCACTAATAGGATCACAAGCTATTAAAAAATTAACAATAAAAGCAGAAAAGCATGAAAAGATTAAAGTACTAGCTGATGCAAAACTAAATACAATAAGTAGTCTTATTTCTAAAGCTACATCAGATCAATATATTGATGATGCAGAATTTAATATGATACTTTCAGAACTTGAAAAGTTTCAAGCTATGACTGAACAAATTAGAACAAAATCTAAAAATAATATAGATGAACAGACTAAAGAGTCACTCATTAATCAAGGTAAAGAGAAAGCAATGAAAGAAACTATGGAATTGCTAAATATGAGATTTAACAAAAATCAGAATATAGGAGTGATGAATAAAACTCTTAAGAATTAAATAAAAAAACATATATTATGTATTATTTGAACATATATTATGTATTATTTGAACATATATTATGTATTACTTGAACATATATTATGTATTAAAAAACATAATATATGTTGATTTTAATCCCTTTAGGGATCTAGGGATCACATTGTGATTTAAAAAAATTATTACATATATAAAAATGTATGCAAAAGCTACAGATATTGATGCAAGATTAAAAATAGCAAAAGAACTTGATGGGTTAAAGAAAAGTGTTTATCAAGATTCTATTAATGAAAAGTTAGGCTATGATGCTTTACAGACTAACTTGGAAAAAATGTACAAACCAATAATAGATAGTCAATCTGGAATAAAAGAAGGTATATCTAAATTAGAAAATAAAGCTAATCAAATAGCAAATACTTTTTCAAATTATCCTGCTTTACTAGATTCTGAAACTAAAGCAATCATGCCACCTGAAGTTGTAGATAACATGAGATTAGGACCTATCGCAACAGAATATTTAAAGTTATATACTACTAAAAATAGTAAAAAAGTATCAGATGACATATTTGGTATACATTATAATGAAGGTAATGAAAAGTTTTACATTGGTAAAAAACCAATAACTATTGAAGGTAATGATATAATTATTGAAGGTAAAAAATACACTGGTACACCTGGTCTTTGGGAAATCATAGTAAAATCTCATCCTGTTAGATATACTAACAATGATCGTAATAAGTATAAAGAAATTTTAAATCAAACAGATGCAATTCGCTCTGATTTAAATTTAGCTAAACCAAGATCATCTAAAGGTTATAAGTACACTAATGTAATAAAACCTATTTGGGAAGAGATGATTGGAAAGTCTGGAAAAGGAGTTGTCATTCTTCCTAGTGATCCAAATGCACTATTTGATATGCTTAAATTACGCTTAGCTGGTTTACAAGCAGGAAATACTGGAACAAGAAATGAGATTGTTGCTATTTGTGATGAGTTGTTACGACAGGGGCAAATAGATGATGATGAGTATAAAGCATTACAGAAAGCGATTTAAAAAAATTATTTTATATATAAAAAATGACAATATACTATGATACTCTTATCAATCTTTCAGATACTCAGAAAGAAAAAATTAAAAAAGCAATTGAATCTGATACTAATGCTAGTATAAAACTATCTTATGAAGATTTAAATGGTGAACACAAAATAGCTTTAACAAATTCACAAAGAAACAGAATGAAAGCAGCATATTTAAAAAATAAGGGTATAACACTTTCACTGAGTAGAGCACAACTTAAACATAATGCTAAAGTAGATGGTGGATTTCTACCTCTACTTGGATTAATTGGAAGTGTAATTGCATCAAAAGTTGTTCCGGCTATAGCAACAGGATTATTGACTGGAACAGCTGCAGCTGCTGGAAGTACTATAGTTAATAAAATTGCTGGAAATGGTATTATTTATGGAAAAAAGAATGGTTATGGATATAAAATTAGAAAAGTAGGAAAAGGAGTATTTTTAAACCCATGGAATGGTAGTTATAATCATTTAGATGGATATTATTTAAGAAATGGAAATGATTATTCATCAGTAGGTAAAGGTTTGTTATTAGGAGAAAATTCTCCATTTAAGAATATACCCTTATTAGGTCTTCTTCTTTAGATCACTTCGTGATCCAGGCTTCGCTAAGTTCTGAAAGAACCAATGCTTTGCTAAATCTTATAATATATATTTTTTAAAAAATATATATTTATTGTTTCCACAATGAAGTTGGATAATAAAATAAATCTAATCCACTTCTATACTTTCCATTTAATAGATCAGAAGACAAATCTATAACAACAAATCCATGCTTTTTTGACCAAGCTTCATTACAAAACTTTTTAAACTCATCTAATTTCATATCATTTGAAACATGGTCGTTATAAATATGATTTACATTTTTAGAATCTTGTTTAAACAAGCATATAAAATTTGCATTTTCTCTTATCGTTCTCCTTGGCAACTCAAAATAATTTTGTGCCAAGTAGAAACAATCTACATTGCTATGTCTTCCTCTTATATAGTACTTTTCACACTTGTTTTGTTTTGTTAATTGTAAATCATCGAATATCATTAAATTATTTTTAATACAGTTAAGATTTTCAGGTTCTGGTACATCATCTGCTGTTTCAAAAAATTTACATTCTATATCTGTTTTATCTTTTAAATTTCTTGAAATGTCTTTAATAACAAACTCTGGATTTACATTGTTTTTATTTATTTGATCTTGCAACTCAAATAGTTTAAGAATAACTTCTTTTGGTAATTTATTTTCAAAAGAATTTTTTAATATTTTGTATTCAGGTTGAAAAAGAGATTTTCCAAAAACTTGTAAATTATTATAGTCTAACCAACCAGGTCTTAATAGTAAGTTTAATAATAATGTTGTTTTTCCACAACCTGATTTTCCAACAATAATCCCTCTTATACTTTTAGGTAATAACTCATTATTTTGACGTTTACTTTTATTTACATTCCATGATAAATCTATAATTTCCATTTTTTATTTACGAAAAGTATTTTTTTAAATTAAATAAATTAAAATACATATATAAAAAATGTATTGCGTTAAATGTAAAAACAAAACAGATACACTCAACTTACAACATGCTGTGAGTAAAAACAAAAGAAATATGCAATGTGGAAATTGTGCAATCTGCGGAACAAGAAAATGTCAATTTACAAAAGGAGCACAAAAAGGAGGTGATTTGGTAGAATCTATTAATAAATTCACAAGTAATAAAAAATTACCATTGCAAAAGTTTCCAGGTGAAATGCATATACCAGGTATGAACTTTGCAGGACCTGGTACTAATTTAGATGAAAGATTAACTTCTACTGAGATGCCTAAAGAATGGAGTATGCCTGTAGATAGAGTTGATAAAACAGCTTATATTCATGATCTTGCTTATAAACATTTTACAGATAAAGAGAATAGAAATTTAGCTGATAAAATAATGATTGAACAAATGGATGCTATACCTAATCCTACACCTCGTGAAAAATTAGAAAGAAAGATTATAAAACCTATCATATCTGCTAAAGTAAGGTTTGGTATGGGAAATAAAGAACCAATAAGTATTAAAGAATTATGTCAAAAAAACTGCAAGCGCAGA